GATGAGACCTTTTTTGACATTTTTCCAAAAAAAAAAGGTGGGGGGAGATTCGCGAATCTCCCCCCTCCTTTTCCCCCCATCAATCATCTAGCCAATGGTATGGAAAGTGATGATCTACCAACCAATCAAGGGATGAGACCTTTTTGTCATTTTTCGAAAAAAAAAAAGGTGGGGGGAGATTCGTCAATCTGACGAATCCCCCCACCTTATTTCCCCACCAATCATCTAGCCAATGGTGGGGAAAGTGACAATCTACCAACCAATCAAGGGATGAGACTTTTTTTGACATTTTTTGAAAAAAAAAAGGTGGGGGGAGATTCGCGCTCCCTCCACCTTGTTCCCCCACCCAACATCTAGGCAATGATGGGGAAAGTGACGATCTATCAACCAATAAATAAATGACACATTTTTGATATTTTTCGAAAAAAAAAGGTGGGGGGAGATTTGGGAATCTTCCCCCACCTAATTTCCCCACCAATTGTCTACCCTATGGTGGGGAAAGTGACGATCTACCAACCAATCATTAAATGACAAATTTTTAACATTTGCCCCCCCACCTTTTTTCCCCCCACCAATCATCTAGCCAATGGTGGGGAAAGTGATGATCTACCAACCAATCAATAAACGAGAAATTTTTGACATTTTTCGAAATAAAAAGGTGGGGGGAGAGAAGCGAATCTCCCCCCACCTGATTTCCCCACCAATGATCTACCCTATGATGGGGAATGTGACGATCTACCAACCAATCATTAAATGACACATTTTTTATATTTTTCGGAAAAAAAAAGGTGGGGGGGGATTGCGAATCCCCCCCCACCTTTTTCCCCCATCATTTATTTAGCCGATGTCGGGGAAAGTGACAATTTACCAACCAATCAAGGGATGAGACATTTTTTGACATTTTTCGAAAAAAAAAAAGATGGGGGGAGATTTGCGAATCTCCCCCCATCCTGATTTCCCCACCAATCATCTAGCCAATGGTGGGGAAAGTGACGATCTACCAACCAATCAAGGGATGAGACCTTTTTTGACATTTTTCGAAAAAAAA